GTGTTCTACTTACCAATTATCATAGCTAGAGTGAAAAGGCTCTTTCGATTCGTCCCAAGTGTAGCCAGCGATCTGGGCCAGTCTCTCAAATATCCTCGGGGGCGGATCCAAAACACCATCAAATTTGAAATCATCCCCCGCGGGCAAAATTCCCTCCATACCTAGCACCGGAAAGCTTTAATTCTGCTCGTATCGCCAACCAAATCCCAAATCCCAAATCCCTTCACCCACTTTCTCTCATTGCCTTATTCGTAGGTTCGAAGATCGTTTTGATCGGATAAGATAAATTGATGTGACGAAACACAGGGGGAGGGGTTAAGCAACTAATCGGTAGGTACAAATCTTCGATTTTGGAGGAGATCGATATTTGGGATTTCGACCTTTGGCGGATTTGTCTTTAGAGACGGGCTCGATGTGCTCGATGGCGGGACTGGGGTTGTTGCGTTAATGCGCCTGATTGAAAGTAGCTTAGTAAAAATATCTACGTCACTACTGAGTTCAGGATAATATAAAATGGGAAAATCACTGGATACGAAGCAAGGTTTATTTTTTTAATCGAGAAAATCCAAACGCCTTGACGCCTCACATTGTTGTTGTTGTGGTACGATACGAGGCTAGATGGTGTGTTTGTATTCCAGGGTAGATCGTACAGAAGCGCATTCAAACCCATCTAGAAGGATTTTAGATGATAGACGAAGGAGTATGTATGTAACTAGACAGGTAGTTACTTAGTCACAGCATTTATTCTCTATAGATTGCATCAAAGTTCGAAACTTCCCGTGCCTAGGTATCCGAATCCATATACCAGTGTATCTACTACTAGGTACTCCTCACAGTAGCTCCTCACAACATCGCACGGAGATGATCATCCGGCGGCGAGTTGATCATCCATTGAGATATCCCAACCTGGAACATGTACCAAGTCAGATTTTTCTCAAAAACTGGGGCCTTTTATTCATTTTTTATTCGCCCCTTATCGATATTAGAACGGTAATGGCGGGGAATATCGCAATATGTATAATTCCCATTAGGTACTTCAACATATGCATACTGGTATCCATTCTGCATCTGCGTCTAGACTTCGGCAAATACTCCAAGCCCGCCCACCAGTTCGAATTTGAATCGTGAAAGATCTAGATACCAAGGTAGGGCACAGGCTGAGACAGGGTAATGTTCTTAGCAAAACCCTAAATATTTCAAGAGTGGATATAATACCTACAAATTTCAGCATCCTCTACTTGTAACTTTCATCTACTCCTCATATATTTCCACCACTCATCTCGGTTTGAATCAGCATTTAGATACCAGAATAAAAGCATCCCATGAATACTGAATACTACCTAGATTTATACCTCAATTTTCATAGTCCCCACTTCAAATCGAGCACATAAGAACTCTCATACCCCAATATCAAGCCCTCATGACTCATTCCTTTGTGCTCTTCCTCCCCTTGATTTGCTATTCAATGAAAGAACATTCTCGCTTATTTCCATAACCACTTCTACCTGCCTCTCCATTCTATTTATCTATCCTACTTCTTCAACATGGCACCTCATATCCTCATATCCTCATGTGTTCTCATCACCATTTCCATCTCTTCTTACAACCATGGTTATCCTCTCCTAGGCTTGTTAATAGGTTATCATGTCAATGATGATATATAATATTATGATCCTATCTGGATTTCTCAAATCACTAGATATGCCTATATCCTCATTTACATACTTGGGTAATATTCTTATAAAAATCAAGTGATCAGCTCTTTCCGTCCTATCCGGTAGAACAGTTTTCACCTGACGATTATGACTCGATAATCACATCTAATTTACAATTATCCACATGTTCTCCTTTTTCCTCAATCTACCGTCTATTCACCTTCTTCAACCGAAGATTCAATATTCTTACTTACCTTTATAATATTTACATTCTCCCTCTACAATTATTCCTGTACTCATTGTGTTTGATGGATATTGTCATTCATTCTTATAATCTCCTCATATATACCTCTCTCTCTTTCAAACTAACATTTGCTCTCATACATTTTCGCTTACCCCCTTAGCACTTCCATCTTCTTTTATTTCTTTTGTTCCTCTAAAATTATCACTTACTCTCATATATATATATATATATATATATGTACATTCATCTCTTTCGCTAATAATCACTTCCGCCCCGACTCTTCAAGCCCTTCGTTTTTTCCGTCTCAAAACATCATCAATTCCTCCCTATATCAACAACTCCCCTTCTCAATCTTTCATCGAACCCAACTATCTATACATTCAAAATCTCACAGTCAGACATTCCTCTCCAACTTTCAAGAAAGATCCATAGTCATTTTCTAATCTATCAATCTCTTCGAAAAGTTCCTGATGCAGTAAACCATCCAAGCATCACTAGGTACAACACGATTCTAGGGCGTGTTCTAAACTTTTGAATTACCAAGGGGTATTCACTACTCATATACTAGATTCAATCTCTATCTTATCCAAATCATTGGAAACATATCACAACCATTTCGAGACTTTTCCGTCTATCAATGTACATTCAGAACACATCGCTGAAGTAAAAATCAGCGCCAAAAATTATATGATTCAAAATGCAACCTAATCATTCGTTCCTGGTCTCTGTATGTACGAGTATATCTAGGTCCATATATCCTCTGATCCAGAGCTCTTGCGTTAAATCTCATATTCGATAAGCAGTCAAAGAGATGAACCATGTTAGACAGTTATTATTACCTTGGCTGTTAGATTTTAGAATTCAATATCAGGAAAGAATTCAAATAAGCAAATGTTATTTCTTCTGCTTCTTCATCTTTCATATATCTACAGTATTCCACATCTCTTAAAACATATCTCATTCCATTCCATCTAGGATCTCACGTCTCTTTTAAATACCAAGCCACAACAAGACAAGCATCAATCCCCCTCCCTCAAACTTCAAACTGAGCTTTTATTCTTACATCAATATCTGCCTCAATCAATAAAACATCTGAAATTCATTCATTTTTTTTACCTCCTTTCTCCTACCTGAAACTAAATGTGCGAATCCACTCATCTCCTCAACCTCCTCAACCTCCTCCAACCCCCTCCCACAAACAAGAAATCTCAACCCTCCAAATTCTCAACCAATCATCCAAAGTTCATATCTATAATAAAAATAAAAAAAAACCAACAATCTCAACCAACATCCGAAAAGATATACAAAAGAAAACTTACATACCTGTTTTCACAATCCTGAAGCATCTATCTCATCTCAGCCCATACTTTTCCATCCCATATCATTATATTATCCTTTTCTATGCCACACCATTGTTCCCATTTCTCTCCCCAAACTATCTTCTTCCCCTTCTATCTCAACCCCCAAGAATCCCAGATCTCATCATACAAAGATATACAAAGATTCTCTCACTATGCATACATCTCCAGCAAGCGTAAACCACCCCCCCCCCCCTTTTCAAGAGAAAAAAGCATCAAGAAAAGCATACCAAAACACGACATAAAGAATGGAATACCCGACTCTTCTTTCCTCTCCCTGTTTCCTCCATTCTCTCTACTCTCCAGCTATACACTAGCTATTTACTCACCTATTTATCTATCCCTCTATCTATCTAACCGTTTATCTATCTACAAATATCTATATTTATATTTATATTTATATTTATCACCTGAATAATGTTCCTTCTTATCAAATTTTTATTTTATTCAAATCCATTTCCCATTTCCCATACAAGCCAAACCAAATCAAACCAAACCAGAAAAGAAATAATACCTACCTACCTACCTACCTACCACTCAACTCAACTCAACTCAACACATTTCTTCATCATTAACAAAATATAACAAACAATACATCATTTATCCCATTAGCCTATCTCCTCTCCTCCCATCCGCTATCCGCCATCACATCACCACCAATATCAACAAATACATAGTATAAGATAAACACACAAACCTCCCTACAAACTCTCACAAGCTTCTACAAATTCCCTTTCTCCCTCTTCCAACTACCATATCCAATCCCCAATCCCCAATTCCAACCCACCATCCTCTCATCCATATGCAACTCCCCTCCCTCAACCATCGCATGAAACTAATTCCATTTCCATTTTCATTTTCATTCCCATGTCCACTTCCACTCCCACTTCCACTCCCACTCCCACTTCCACTCCCACTCCCACTCCCACTTCCACTTCCACATCTATCACACATGCCCTCTTTCCTCTCCACTCATACATAGCGCCATCTCCACTAAACAAATCCAAATTTTCTATTCTCTCTAGTCGCACACGTATACACATGCGTATCTACCTGCATGCATTCATACTTTCATACTTTCCAGCCACATCAGTTATACATACTAAGTTTATACACACATGAACAAATACCAATATTATAAAGATAACCCTACCTACCTACCTACTATTCATCACAAACCCCCAACTTCAATAACCAAGCAAGTCAATTCACAATTCAAATAGCCAAAAAAAATATGTATATAACTTTAATTCTATAGTGGTTCTATGACATATTCGCTAGTCACACATCGCTATTCACACAATCGACGTAGAAAATCTTACACCGTCCCCACTTTATACATGAATACACGCATTCCCCATACCATCCCATCCCACCCTGTACCATCCATTCATCTATCAAGGATACTATCTTTCATGTCAAACATGGTATGGTAAAACATCATGCCCGCTTCTGCAAAAGAATTGTCAAGAAGAAAATTCTTATCAAGTATCGCAAAGGAAATAATAACGCCAGTGCCGGACCGAGCTAACTAAGCTACTTGTATAATGGCATGAGACCACAATATGCAGGGGCGTCTAGTATGTACTTTTGAAAGACATCTCATGGTTCAATTGATCCAACCCATTGAACCATATCATATGGTATATGGTTTATAATAGAATGACATACCCCAAACTTTTCTTATCCATTACCGAAGCGAAAAGAAATATGCTTCGGCAAGGTATTTAACAGAGAAACACTTTACGAGCTTCCAACGGCGTTTTTAGCGGCATTAATATATTCGCTTGCGTGGATATCGTATGAGGGTGCGAATCCGCCGAGGAGAGTGAAAATGGTGGTAATAATAAGACCAAAGACGATAACTTTGCGGAGGACTGGTCGACGGGAACCGAGATCTGCCCATTGGCGTCCACCTTCTGCAAGATAACCCTTGATCTTTTCAGCGCCAAGCTTGAACCAAACCATTCCACCAAGAGCAATAGTATATCCGAAGCATTGGAGTGGGGTGATGAAAGTTCCCCAGATGATGATGGAAAGACAGACGAGGAGAATATCTTTCAAAACACCGCAGAGAGTGAAGATAAGAACGGAGGTCTTGCCAATCTACATATAATGTTAATAATGAATTTTGCATTGACCAAATGAGATTTTCTTACCAAGAATACAACGGAAACGTTCAACATGAATGCGCACATAGCATTGGCCAAAAGAGTCCAGAATCCAACATTGTAGAAATCGCCCATGGTCATGGTTGGAATTTCCCAGAAAAGTGCGACGCAGAAGTTCATGATGGCACAAACTGGAGCGAAATAGTAAAGGGATACCAATGGGTCCATCTTGAACTCGGCAGAGCTGAGAAGTCTTTGAACCATGACAATTCGAATAGCCTCGAAGATGATACCTCCGATTTGGAAAAGAACACCAATGACGACAAAGTCAATTTCTCCGATAGATGCGATAACAACACCGATGACAATGAAGGAGACGTTGAAGAGGGTTTTCATGTTGGGTTCGGCAACGCCAAGGGCCCAACTGGTGAGTAAGACTGCGACAGGAGTGGTAGCCTACAATCGAGTGTCAGCACATTGAAATTCGATCTCTAGCTATTCAACATACCTTGAGCATTTGAATGAAAGAAACACTGAGATAGAGATATGTCAAGTTTCCGCAAATCAAACTCAGACTGAAGAAGATTCCAATAGGCACGATGGCTCTCAAGTATACACGACCCGTCATCTTAACCGTCTTTCGTCCATCGAGAAGTTTGGTCGTTCGTGCGAGAATCTGCGTCATCAAAGTCGCAAATCCCAGATGCCATGATGTGAGGAAGATTGGGAAATCTGCAGAACTGTTAATTCATGGTCGCGAGTCAAACTGGTGCCATCGCAGGAGACGACCAAGATAGAAAAAACGTACGAAACCCGACCGTCGATAAGATCCATTTGTTGAAGAGAATAACACTGGAACTGAAGAAAATCCATGTCCTTTCGAGAAGAAGTCAGCGAATTGTTTGTTTGGAGTGATGATGGGATTGTAACTCACATAACATAAAATGCTGGGTGTACAGCAGCCTTGGGAGATTCTGATTTCTCGGCGGCAGGATTAACTGTAGGGAGGACAGGAGAATCTGCCGACCTGGAGATTTCTCCGGAAACTCGAACCTTTTCTTCATTCATGATTGCGAAGTGTATTGTGGAAGAATTGGTGAAATGATTCTTCAAGTGTGTTGGAGATGTTTAATGTGAAAGATCACAATCTAGATGTAAGGGTAGTAATAAGGGTTGTACAGTGTACGCGTTTTCCTGTGTGCCAAGCACTAGATAACGATCGGAAAGGTTAGAATTCCAAATGGAGAACGATTATCGAGTTTTTCTGCGCTATGAGGCTAAATTGAAAGATTTAAAGGATTGGAATTTGGTATTATTTTACCAAAGAATAAAATAATGAAGAAGAGGCGAAGAAGTAAATTGAGAAGAGAAAAGATGGAAATGACAAGAGAAGAAAGGACTGAAGTGAGTGAGAGAAGGTGGTCCTTATGTCCTTCTGCCCTTGTGAATGGATCTACTGGGGACTCAATAATTACCTCTTTGATTTGAGGTCAAGTTCTCGACGTGATTTCAATGCTACCTAGGCTCAAGGTTACAGGTACAGATATCTAGATAGTAGTACTAGGTAATAAGAGGTACCTACCGGTACCTACCTAACACCTACTCACTCTAGTTGGAGCCCTCTGTTAATATGGATACTGGGTGGTAAGGTTCAAAGTGGATATTCATCTACCCGGCTAGAAGACTTCTGGACCCAGATTAAATTATACATCATACGTAACTCTCTGTCAAGCATCAAGAATGTCGATAATCAAATGTGTTATAACTGAATATTATCGCTATATCACTCTCATTCTTATTATCACTCATGTACTGGGTCGCTTACCTAGGTAGGTAACGAACGTCTGCTATGGCTAACCGGAAAAGTATATTTTCATTCTCACTCCCAGGTAGATACTTCACATTCATCTACTCCTTCATTCGATTTCAAGTTATTTATACATTCGAAGCTTATTTAGAAGCCATCCTCTTCTCGAAGGTTTCAAAGAAGCGAATGCAAAAGCTTTAATCCTTATTTAGATGCAAATGAACATTGTCTAACAGCATTGGGTATAATGCATCTTGTCGTCTATTAGGGAGGCCCCGACAACAAGTCCTACCTATACATCTGGTCCAAATCGATTTGAGTATACCAATCAAGTATCTGAACAGAGTAGGTGCCGGTATGTATTGGATAGCTGTGGCTTGAGCTTACCAGTTAGAGTACGCCGTCCGAAAAAAAAAGGGCCGGCAAACGCGCAATCACTTTTGATCTTCCCCCCTTTATTATTCGAAGGCATCGGCAGGGTTATGAAAATGTATGCTACCTATGTATTAATGATTATGTATTGGAGGGCAATCCAAATAATTAGAACGACCGTAACTGAATTCGACTATTGTATACCAAAATTAAGTACAACATCCCGCTACTCTTCATCAAACCATCGTCTTGAATGTTTGAATCGTCCAAGGTAAAGGAAGGGAATTTCTATTTCCATCACAGTGACATCGCTACACAGCCTTCGGATCATCGAATATGCGATCACTTGTCAGAGATATTGAAACTTTTGGCAGGAGATCTACAATCTTTTGACTCTAAAATGTACTCAAATTCCATCACAGATTCTCAGCCTCGTCATTTGGAAAAGGTGATACCCATACCTTGTGTCCCTAAGCCATTTGTTGTGAAGCTCTGGCGCCACCCCCTGAATAAACCTTTTTGCTTTCCTTCCCCTTGTTCGTCTGCGAAGATCAAAAGTTACACCAAGAGATCTGTCAATGGCATCATCATCATTGGCCTTCTTGGCCCCCTTGTTCATTCACGATATACTCCAATCTAAATCTAATTAATTGGTCCCATATTGACGTTCTCCAGAGGGGTAACAAAAGGGCCCCAAGCTCAATGTTGTAAATTGGCTACTCCCGTGCTACGGTATGATAATTTGATTGATTTACTTGAGAGATTAGTCGAATGTGCTGATCCGTTTCATGTATTTTTCTGTCAACGTCAATCCTGGTGTCTGCCACTGGATGGCCAGATAAATGTGGACTTTCGCGGATAGTCACCGCAAAAAGGTCGGTCTAGCATATACATCCAACTAACTTTTTCCAAAGTTGTGGAGAAGTTCAACTTGTGAGCTTGTCTCAGAGATGAGATCCGGAAACCCTAATAGACATGCTGATACGATTATTGAGGATATTCCCAGTCATCTCATCCTCGCCTGAAGTTTACTTGCAACCGATTTTCATTTGTATAAGACTTCACGCCTTTTTATATCGCTCATGATGTTTGGAGATCGGCGGACTATCCATGTTGATATTCATTTGATGAAGTTCTGACTCGAATGCTCTGCCAAAAGATTGCAGTTTATAGAAATGTAAAGGGAACCAAGCTCCCAGGTGATTAAAGGAATTTCTTATCACAACGCCGGTAACATGCATGATGCCTCCCGAGGGGTTCTTGCATTGCGGTAAATAAACGGTGAACGGTGAAGGCGTACAACAGACGGGAAGAAGTTGGGGGGGGGTAGTTTCCTGTCGATCAAGGAAAGGAACGGGTGCGAACAGTAAGTATTCTGTAGACTTGTCAAGTACATACTTTGTGAGTGCTCGATGTTGTGATACTCGGCCAAGACGTCCCCAGAGGTTGTGGAGAAGGAGATCATCCCTCATGAAATCAACAACATCAAAATCGTAAGATGATCCCATTCATTTTGAACCTGCAAATAGATTAAAGTGCCCCCAAAATCGTCGTCTCAACGAATATACGTATTCCACAGTTTGGAAATCGAAGGAATCTAGGATGATCCAACTGTTTTGGGGGGTTTCTTTTCTATAAGGTTACAATTAAAGTTATCAAAGACACATCCGTTGTAAGTGATGGAAGGGCATGAAATACTACCGTTTTCGATGTTTGATAAGTTCTCTTCCGATGTCGTAGTCTCATAGATGAAGTTTGATATTCTTTTAATATCCTGTCCCAAGGTTCGAGAATCAACCTTTCAAGGGTTGATGCCGAGACTAAACCAATAGATAAGCTTTTCATGATCCATGCTTCAGATTCCATTTCATTCTTATCCAAATCTGGTTGTAGCGTTTACCATCATTATCCGTCTACCGGTCCAGAAGCGTTGTTCAATGTTCACAGATGAGAGAGGACGGGAACATTAACAACCCTAGTTCAAATAGGTAATTAATTTGAGTTAGGAAAGTCGACTTTAATCCCCTTCGACCCTTTAATCCTTGTTCAAGGTACGTGGGCTATTTCACCCTCATTTTAACAACCCACCGAGATTCTTCAATTGGTGTTCCATAATTTTCCCAAGTGCTGTCATTTCATACCAGTTGGCAGAGCGAGTATAAGGGAAAAGATACATCTAGCCACCTTTACTTTACACTTCTAACACCTTCTTAAGACCTCTCATCCGCCTCTCATCCGCCTCTCTCTTTTCAAGAACCATCTCCAATTTATATCCAATTACACCCTTCAAACAAAATTCTACAGACTTACAAGATGGCCGATATGTGTGTATACCCTTCTCAATCCATTAACCTTTGCCCCCTCATCCACCACACCATCATTTGCGCAATCAAACTTCCACTCGTTGCATCCTCAAGCTAATTGGTATTTGTAGCAACGTAGATGTTCTTGTTATTGGAGCTGGACCAACTGGTCTTGGAGCTGCAAAGCGTTTGAATCAACTTGTGAGTTTCTTCCTACCCAGCGATACACACCGCCAACTTGGAAGAACCTTTTTACTGATCACAATCGCAGAATACTGCATCGTGGATGATCATTGATTCGAATGAAACGCCTGGTGGACTTGCTTCTACAGATACCACTCCTGAGGGCTTCGTAAGTTATTTCAACATTCAATGGCAGATGTGGCAAATACAATTTTCTAACATTCTATTTACAGCTCTACGATGTTGGCGGACACGTTATTTTCTCACATTATAAATACTTTGACGACTGCATTGATGAGGCTTTGCCAAAAGAAGATGATTGGTACACACACGAGCGTGTCTCTTATGTCCGCTGCAAGAACCTCTGGGTTCCTTACCCATTCCAAAACAACATTTCCGTTCTGCCAAAGGAGGAACAAGTCAAGTGTGTTGATGGTATGGTTGATGCTGCATTAGCAGCTCGCACTGCTACTACCAAACCAAAGGATTTTGATGAGTGGATCGTTAGAAATATGGGTGAGGGAATCGCAAACTTGTTCATGAGACCATACAATTACAAGGTCTGGGCAGTTCCAACCACTGATGTTTGTATACCTCTTTCACTCTATTACACCGAAATTATGCTAATGATATAAAAGATGCAATGTGCATGGCTCGGTGAGCGTGTCGCAGCTCCAGATGTGAAGACTGTCGTCAAGAACGTTATTCTCAACAAGACTGCTGGAAACTGGGGTCCTAACGCCACTTTCCGCTTCCCTGCTCGCGATGGTACTGGTGGTATTTGGATTGCAGTTGCCAAGACTTTGCCAAAGGAGAAGACTTTGTTTGGAAAGGAGGGAGAGGTTAAGAAAGTCGACGCTGATGCACACACTGTCACTCTATCCAGCGGCAAGACCATTGGCTACAAGAAGTTGATTACCACCATGGCTGTTGATCAACTTGTGGAACAAATGGAAGATAAGGCACTCATTACTTTGAGCAAGGATTTGTTCTACTCAACAACCCACGTTGTTGGTGTTGGAATTAGAGGAGAGCGACCAGCAAACATTGGAGACAAATGCTGGGTAAGTTCTTTTCCACTTTTTTGTCTTGATATTATTTTCTGCCAAAGCGGTGACCCCTCAAATTTCTTGGCTTAATTCCGAGTATCACCCAATTTCACGTGCTGACATTCTCCATAGCTCTACTTCCCAGAAGACGACTGCCCATTCTACAGAGCAACCATCTTCTCAAATTACTCCCCATACAACCAACCTGAGAAATCAGTTAAGCTTCCTACCTTATACCACGCAGATGGCAGCAAACCAAAGTCTTCTGAGGCTCAAGAGGGTCCTTACTGGTCCATTATGTTGGAAATCTCCCAATCTACCAAGAAGGCAGTCGATGTTGAAAACATCCTTAGA